CCGCGTAAACATAAAACCATGTCTGCATTTGTGATCGGAGAAATGACAAACAACAAGCGCTACTCTACACTGCTCAAAACTCGCGTTTGAATCGTCAGTGGCAAATTCTTTAAATATAAAAAACGTACTTACAGTCTGTGAGTCAGAACAGCTGGCATTGTAGTCTACTCTACCAGGATCAGGAAAACGTCCTCCATAAAATGTGCTGCACACATCTGAATATTTGGGTTGAACTGTTCTGGGACAGTATTGTAAATACAACTTAACCACTGATTTCTAGTCGAGTCCTCTTTTGGAAGGCCAAACAAAGTAGTTTCGCTTTCACAACGAAACACACAGCGTCACACACGGCGGGCTTGAGTGAGCGGAACCACATGTGACGGCTCCGGGCTGGACTCCGCTTCGTCCACAATGAAAGCCGATCCGGCGATCCACAGCGCAAAGTTGAAGTATTTCCTCAGCGGCCAGCACGGATCAGCTCTAGGCATGACGAAGCGGATATCATCCTCTTTTGGAAGGCCAAACAAAGTAGTTTCACTTTCACAACGAAACACACAGCGTCTCCACGACATGGCGGCAGCAACAATACTACAGCGAGAATAAAAGCTACGCCTTCTTTCTTTGAGTGAACATTTGGGCGGCGTTATGCAAATCTTCCCACATCGTGACGTAGACATGTGGGGGCGTGTTAGAACGAGCCATTTTAGTTAGGCATGGTTGACTCTTAACTTTTGTACAGAATATCTGTTTGGATTTGAGACTTTAGTCTTTGCAACTTTACAGATCTTGTTTATGCACCAAGAGCTTGTAACACTTCAAAGAGAAAGGAAAAAATAAAATCACATCGTATGACCCCTTTAAACACATATGGTTTAAAACGCATGATTTCAGCACGATAAACATGATAATCAGAACCAAAACAGATGTTTTTAGCAGGTACGATCTGTAACGGCACAGCTCTATTCTGGAAAAGGGGCGGGGAGCACCAGCTCATTTTCATTTAAAGAGACAGGCCCGAAAACAGCGTGTTTCTGCTTCTACTCAAAATAGGCATTTTCAAAATGACATAATACATGATCTGTGGGGTATTTTGAGCTGAAACTTCACAGAAACATTTTGGGGACACCAGAGACTTATATTACATATTGTAAAAAGGGGCATAATATGTCTCCTTTAAATTAAATTTGGGATGGTCAAATAAACACACTTGCTTCCAAATCAAATTACACCATTCCACGTCACGTCAAAACTCATTGATTTTTCCCACACAAAACACTAGCCCTCACTGTTTGCTTTTCTCCCTGTGTAATTGCAGTTTAAAATAGACAGGCACGCACACGTTACTCCAACAATACCCAATTAAACAATGAAAAGTCTCTCAATTTACTTTGTGTTTTGCTCTGTAATCCCAACAGAAGTACTTCCTTTATTATAATTGGTTCCAGAGCACCCATTCAAAACATCACAGCAGTGGCATCTTTATTCCAAAGACAGCTGCAAAGCAAGATAAGTGGAAAGTATTACCTCCATAGCTCTAACATGATTTACAGTGTTGTTAAAACGTCTCAAAATATTGAAAGTGTTGTGGATACCTGATGCCTCCAAGAGAATGTCTTCAGAAGATAAATTGCACAATTGCAGCAATTCAAGATGAGTGGAAAAACTGCATGGACAATTAGAGGCAAGAGGTCACATAACAAAGTAAGTGCAGGCGAGATATTTCATGATACAAAGGGACAGACTGTGATGGCTGCAAAGAAAAACCTCATGTGTGATGCATTTGGTTAATAATAGTGTACTGGGACACCGGGATATACTGTATGTCTGTGATATTGATTTAAGTGGAATAAAAGAAAAAAATGCCTTGATTGTAACTGTTTCTCCAGTCAAAATTTGACAAAATAACGGAAACAGGAAAACAATCAGGAAACATCATAAAAATTCACTTTTATCACACCTGAAAATTGGAAGTCATTCATCCAAGTCACCTCAAACAGCCCCTGTGCATCTTTGATTGGATGGTATTCCACTCAATTAGCATGCTAATGAGGGCCTCTTGTGTCTCATTGCGTCGAAGGCTCTGACAGGACAACAGCAATTAGCATAAGCCAATATCAATTTACTGAGAGACAGAAACCAATTGGTGGAGGGAAGGCATAGGGCCACAGAGCTGGATTTTTAGACAATGAAAAGTGCTGACGCTAAATGGTTTTTCTCTTTGTTGTGATCACACTATAGGATAGCAGGAAGAATTATCATATCAGATAAACAAGAGGTTGTGCATTCACATTTAAGGTGGTATGGATGTAAGATATAACATAAGTGTCTACATTTTCTTAAATGATTAAAGTCTAATTTTTTTTTTATTGTATGCTAGACATTTAACTGCTGTCTGTCAAGACATTTATCTCAAACGTCAAAAGTATCCTTCAATAGCATCTTGACTGAGGTGAATGAATTTGACTATCACAGTTCTCTAGCATTCAAAGACATCTCGGATTTATCTCAATGAAAGTACCATATTGACCCGAATATAAGACAATGTTTTTTTCTTGGAAATACATCTTAAAAAACGCGGTCGTCTTATATTCAGGGTCTAGACTTTGACATGTCAATAATACACCCACAACAATAGGTGGCACCAAATACGCATACGAGTCGTTACTGTCATGTTAGCCTGATGGGACCAAACTCCCTTTGTGATTTTAAAACGTAAGACACTACCCAGATTTGAAGACTACAGTAAGATTTAACTTCTTCTGTTAATAAGATTTTGGTAGGCTACTATTAGATGGATAGCCTAAATGTCCTAATTCAGATGGGCTACCTGTTTTTTTTTTTAATGGTATATCAAAAAGTGTATATTTTTTTAAATGTGATTGTTGGTACATTTTAACTGTTTTTTACCATACTTTCAAAACAAAAATTTAAATAGGAAAAATATGCAATATGAAAATAATTGAAGACAAAATGTTTTTTAATGAGAAAAAACAAGATTTGGTTTTTAAAAAGCCTTTTTCCAAAAGGTACTTCTGGAAAAAGGGGGATCGTCTTATATTCGGGCCAATACGGTACTTCACGTGAGTGTGTAGAGTTCAATGAAACTAAAACCCAAAACTATGCAATAATAAATGTATGGAATCAATGAATGGACCAAATATTTTTGCTACATTAAAAATATTTTTTCATTAGTCTATAAGAGCCACTTCAACAACTCAAGCAGAAAGAATCTGAAAACTATGTTGAGCCCAAGCCTCTGACTCAGAAGGTATGCCAATGAAACACAAAAAGCATTTGCAAAAAGAAAAAAAGCATAAAAGGTATAAGCAAAACAACAAAACAAAAAATTTTGCTAAATTAATAAATGTTAATTTTTTTTTTCTGGAACAGGTAGGTATTTTCTAAACATGCTCCGACTCTTCTTTTGTTATGCATATTTAGATTTATGACAAATAAACCAAAACCTGCCATTTCATAAGAGAGGAGCAATAAGCACATATACGCACACAATTCCATCAAGCTAGAGATTTTCTATACTTTTCAAACAGGTGCTTAGTGTAATGCAAAGCATAACGACGCCATTTTGCAAAACTCCATCCTGAGTCCTTTCTGCTTATTCGCATCAAATCTCATAAATTTTTTTTCCCCCAATGGACTACTTTACTAACATTACAGCCAGACTGCTGATGATGAGGGAAATAATTATTCCAGTGAACTCATGCCATTTCTTTCTTAGAAGTTTTGCTGGGGAGATTTAAATACAGGCAGTGGTGCAGGTCAGAGCTTACTTTATTGGGTTGAAATGTCACAGGTGGACTGGCATTTAGGTTAATGAAGAAAATTATTGTCTAGATAAAAATAATAGGGCACACTGTCATTGGATCAGGGCCTCTGACCTACAGCATGCTATACAAATCAAATAATACATTGGCAATATTTAAATATATTAACCTTTTCTGTTGCTCCATTCACATCTGGTACAATTACCTGATGCTAAAGAGGCTGTCAGTTTTGAGTTCAAACTCACTGAAGTTGCTTTAAAGTTACACAGAGTTAATAAGCAAGGCAATGCTGATGTTTTAAAGAGTTTAGTCATAATTTCAGACAAACTACAATATTTTCACACTAATCATAAATGAACCTGTCAGAATGAATAAGATGCTCTATATATCTGGAAACTTGAGCGGAACACAAGAGCTATATTAAGGTTTGATAAGTTAGATGAGTTATATCTTACATTATTGGAAATTCCATTTGAATGCATAACTCAGACTCAGTGTTCATTGTAAATGAGATGCAGCAGAGATGTTTTATGCAGAAAGTTAGGTGCACACTGCTCAAACACCAAGACCTTGTTGAGTGAAATAACAGTCTAGGATAAGTGTCAATTCCGCATTCAGTGGTGGGAATATTCAAAATCAAATTCACCACAACTTTAGTGTTCAGGCAATCACATGCCACTTTAAATTTAAATAAGATGGCACCATTTGCCAAGACAATTTCTCTTTCTTTCCTATTACAAATATGAAAAAAAAAAAATACTATCTAAAAAAATAGCAGACAAAAGGAAGAAAATATGGTAATATCACATGTACACAATTATATTAAATGTAACATTCTCAAAAAAAAAAAAATAGACTGTGTTCACATTCTGGTAATACTGCTGGATTATATTTTTCTTCAACCATAACAATTAAACAACCAAATTAATCAGTTAACTAACTAACTGGGAGTCTAGGCCATGTACACCGATTTGTAGTAAAGGGGGATGTGAAGCCTGAGTTATACAAATAAATAAAATTGAACAAACAAATAACCCCCTCTATATCTTTTTTAGGAGTCTAGGTCATGTGCACAGATTTGTAGTAAAGGGGGATGTGAAGCCTTTTTTTTAAATAAATAAATAAATATAAAAATGAGCAAACAACTATATATATATATCTTTTTTGGGGAGTCTAGGCCATGTGCATAGATTTGTTGTAGGGCAAATCTGAATAGAAGGAAGCCCAAACGGCTAGCAAGGTACTCTTCAGCATCAGACATTATGGGTAGTGATAATCGGGTTTTCAGTAAGCTTTCCACGAGTCTTCTGTGACATATGCATCTACTCTATTTAAAGTCCTATTTGCAAGTATATTGTCCAAGCGGATATAAATTCATATTTAAAAAGTACCTTTTGAGTTTCAGTTGCCAGTTGCAGAAGGGAAGGTGATGCTGTGGCCTGCAGGGATCCAGGGGCTCTGACGGGGCTGTGCAGGCTGACATAAGCTACTGCCCTGCTCTGAAGAACCACTGCATTCTCCTGTACAGACACACAAAACAGCCATCTGCTGCCAGCTGATGATATGTCAGAGCATTGAGTGATATTTTGGCATAAAAGCCTGAGTCACCCCCAATGAGACACTACAATTTTGTGAAATGAGCATCGTGAATAATACAAATCATTATTGTCTTTCTCATACTCAAAAAATATAATTTTATTGTGACATTATTATGGGCTTCTTAAGATTAATGATGACGTTTGCATTGTACTGATTAGAATAAACTCCTTCGCCGGACAGAATGATTTCATTAACACTCCAAAATCATCCATCTGTCTGACTGAATCTTCATGGCTCGGTGATCATGTTAGCAAACTTTTGTACGGCTGCTCAAGGCTAATCTGTACTATTTTTGCTTTTCCTCCTTCGCTTTAGTTGTCAAACTGAGGAAGAGAAAAAGGCAGGTGCTTTTGACTTACTACTAAACCCAACTTTGGGGTCGATACTCTACATTGCGTTGCCAGAGATTTCCATAAATATTAATATGATGTATCAGACAAACTCAAGCATCATTTTTAAATCTACATCTAAAAAATGCAGCTTATATATGTAACTTGTAGGCTATAATGTGACCCAGATGCCACAAAAGGGTCATAAAGGGCACATGCTCATTTGTCTTGTTCCTACATGATTTACTGAGGTAATATGATAACAGGCTGATTTCCATGTTGAACATTTTTTCACACAAATTATAATTACAGGGGCAGATTACTGATTAAGAAATACTTATTTTACATGGTTCAAAATGCTTTTACTGTATTTCATGATTTGTAAACTAATAGAAACATTTTGACATTAGCATCACACAACCAGCTCCATATGTAAGGCTTTTCTGATGGCGTAAACTTGCTCAGAAGCTCACCTGGTACAGCATTGCACTTGTGATAGGGAGTGGTCGGGTCACGTCTACCCTTACGAAAAATAAGTTTATTCAAGTGTGCTATTAGTATACTTCTTTTAAACTAAAAATAGGAAAGTATACTTTTAGTCTACTTTTTATGTACTTCTCAGAAATGGGATTTGTGTACTTCTCAGAAATATACTTAAAATGACATTTAAGTATACTTGACTTATATTTAGATAAAAGTCTAAATATATTTTAGCTATACTTGTGCTCCTAGAATCTGTGTTTTCATTGTTATACTGTAGGGAGCGCTATTACACATCTTCTGTACAGAATTTCCAAAAAACACAAGTGAAGAAGAAACCGAAACGACAGATGCTTCCACATGTAATCTAACACGATCATCAGACATAAAACAGCATCAAAACTGTGTAACGTTATGGAATAAAATGTCGACCAATGAAGAGGTAATAATAACTGTCAAGCTTTGGGGTGTTGATCGACTTTATCTACGTTTTGATTATCATTCTGAATCCAAGTCATAGTCTTTTTTTCAGCTTTTTGTTAGGAGTAGTAGTATACTTAAAGTATGATGTAAAGTTCACTTAAAGAAAACTTACGAGTATACTTAAAACTACTAAACTAGTAGTTTACTGAGACTATACTTCAAAGTGTACTAAAAATGGTACTACAAGTATTTAATTAGTAAACTATCATTATACCTATAAGTTCACTTTTAGTATAGTTGCAGTACAAGCTAAAACTGTTGGTGTAAACTAGTTGTGTACTAAAAGTTTACTACTGTTATACTTAAAGTATACTTAAAAGTATACTTTTATATACTAGAAAGTGGGCCAATTTAGTCCCAAGGAGTATTGAAATAGTACACTTACAAGTATACTACTAGTACACTGATTTGTGCATACTTACTACATAAAGTATACTTAAAATATACTTGAACTTTACTTAAGTATACTTACTAAAATAAACTTGATTTATACTACTTTTTGGTAAGGGTAGTGAAACACGAGTCACAATAATAGAGCTCAAAGACTTGTATAAGCATGCTAAAGTGGCTAAAATGTATTTTTATCTCATGCTTGCTTCTGTTAACACTGTTGGTTAGGATTAGTGTAGGCGGTACGTTATTTTTAAATGTGATAAAGGATTAACTTTTTAGCCCAACTAACCAGACATTTCATTTTCTTAACAGTGATACCAACAACAACCAACATAATAAAACATTGAAAGAATCATGTTTATCTGTTTCGGGATTAAACTGACTGTGCTTTTAGTGTCACTCATTGGACATTTCACTTCAACATTTTTGCAAACCGTACAAGCAACGTAATATCAATGGGCTGAAATGTAACAACAGGTACATTTTTCCAATGAGTCTGCACTGGAATAGTCAAATATTACCTTCCCCCACTCAAAGGAGCCGATGTTGCCCAGTGAGGTTCCCCCCCAGGAGCAGAAGACAATGGTGCGGTCGGGCTGCCAGCCCGCACGGGTTTGAGCCGTCATAGAGGCGATGATCTGAGTCATGACTGCAGAGCCGTTCCCCCAGTCTGCCAACGCACCCTCGTACCAGCTGCCATGACGACTGCCAACCAGTACATATCGATCTACAAGGGGAAACAAAGTGGGAACACTTACACACAAAACAAGAATCAAACACTCACGCACCAACAAACATGTTCACGCAGGCGGAGGGTCAATCAACTGCAGGGTAAAGCGACCATATGAAAACTAGGAGGATTCTTTTTAAATACACATTTTAAATAGATTTTCTGCCGTCTGGAACCTTATATTACATATAAAAGAAATTAAATGCGCAGATCAATTTCAACAGAAACTTGCTAATTGGTTAACTGTAAACTTTACCACACTGTAAAAAGAATGTAGTAATCTGCAGTTAAGTTGCTATTTCTACCTAATCCAACCCTTAAATAGACTCTATGCACAATCACTTCTGCATTTTGCCTCAGCCAGCTTAGTTACATCCGGTGCAGTGTTAGAAGACATTTTTGCTATTGGCGTTAACTGTGGAGACATCGCATGAAAATATTTTTCCTGGATAACTGTGAATGGTGTTAATAGCATTGTGAGGCAGTCAGCTGTCACTCCTAACAGCAAGAAGGAGAAGTTTCGAGTTACATTGACACTTTGAGGGTGAGTATTCTCACATTAAGTTCCAGTTTCTTACAGTTCATACGCATCTTTTCATTATTTGTTTTAATATATCCAGATAACCTGTTTACTTATATTGTATTCATTTTGACTGATGTGGTTGTTTATGCAACGTATAGGATTTTTGGACTATGAATTTTAATTTCTAAATTTCCAAACAGAATCCGGTGACAATGAGAGATAAGCGTGAGGGAGTTGTGTTACAGGCCAGTGAGGAAGGCAATATATTAGCTTAAGTCTGAATTAAATGCTCGTTTTATACAGCCGTTTTTGAGGTTTCTGTACAAAGTCAGGCATAGTGAAACTAATTCGTAAAAAGGTTCATAGAGCTTAACATTTTAAATTTGGGTATAGTACTCCATACAGCATATGGGTTTGTAAATATAATATTGAAATATTAAGCAATATGTAATATTTAACAAATTTCTATTTAAATTTCTACTTAAATATTTAACAAATAATTAAAAAGAATATTGATACATGACTTTTGTTATAGTTTAATCATCTTCACAGACTGTTAGATAAACAACATTTCATTTTTTGTAACATCATTTATATATATAAACAAAAAAAACTTACTGTATGAGATCAGGCCTAGATATAACAAATGGACTATCCCACTACCAGTGTCAACACTTAACTTTATTTTAATGTTATCTCAGTTAACAGTATTTGCCTGAAATTGAGAGCATTATGAGCATTTTTTTTCTAAACATACAAAAACATGGCATTACATCCATTTAGGTCAAGTAATTCAAACATACCACACAAGGAAGATGTAATGTAAAATAGGTCAGACTACAGAGATTAAAAATTAGGGAATTTACTTTAATATACGTTTTTGTTTTTATTTCAGGAGTACCCTTTACAGAGGTGTCACCAGCGAGCTGTCTGACCTCTCAGTCCTCCAAGTGGCTGAGCTGTATTAGGGCTTTGTCAACACTACATCCCCTTTGGTCACCACAATCAGGATGTTCAGTGAGGATTCATTGGTGGATTATGCCTTTGGAAAAGTTTAGGCTGGGAGTGTGTTTTCATACCTACAACCTGCAACATTACTCATCATCAAGATGCCCCATCGGCGCCACATCTGCCACTTGTGGGTTACAGCCTTGGCCCATCTGTCTGCTTGTTTGTCCATAGCGAACAGAGTTTTTTTGTATATACACAACTGTGTTGTTGTACACGAAATGTTAAACACTTTATCAAAGTTACTTATATATACATGTTATATTTATATGTTTGCATTACCATAGTGCAGGCAACAAATTAATTTATATTTACATATTTACATTACTGCAGTGCAGGTCATTTATGTTTGTCATTTATATTTGCATGTTTGCATTATTGCAGTTCAGGTACAAATGTATCAAAGTTGTTTATATTTATTTTCACATTATGACATTGCAGATAACACCAAAGTATCAAAGTTATTTATATTTACATGTTTACATTATCGACATTTGTGCAAATAAATGCAAATGTATACATCCACAATTTCTATATTAAATATTATTTTAATTCATATTGTGCTCAGTTTACAGTAAAAAGTTATATTTTACAAGACAACAAGGAATGTTGCTAAAATATTGGGGGGGAAATGTAGTGAAGCGTTTGAATTACGAAAATGTATGTATAAAATGTATATTATTAACAAAGTAATATGTAGAATTTTATGGTTAAAACAAAATCACAAAAACAAATTTAAAGAAAAAAGTATGAATTACAATATAATTTACATTACATTTACATTTAGCAGATGCTTTTATCCAAAGCGACTTACACATGAGGAAAATGTAATATATAACAATATAACAATTTATACATAAAGGGACAGCTTTCCCAGAAATCCCCACATCAACAATTACAAAAACATAATGTTGTTTGAAACCCTGTAACCCATGTATCATTAGCACTGTATTTCATAGTAAAGATTTGTTGGTAGCACTTTAGTATAGGGACCAGTTCCTACTATTAACTAGTTGCTTATTTACATGCATATTACTAGCATATTGGCTGTTTATTAGTACTTATAAAACACATATTCTGCATGATGAATCCTTTACAATACCTAAACTTAACTACTTTATTAACTATTAATAAACAACAAATTAGGAGTTTATTGATGTAAAAATCAAAGTTAATAGTGAGAAGTGGACCTTAAAATAAAGTGTGACCGATTTATATTTATGTGTATATTACATATTACTATATAATAAAACATTTATTGTTGTTATTTGCACAGGTGATCACTGGTCTACTCATGTCATAGTGATCATTACTCAGTAATTTTTTACTTTACACTACAATTAAAAAGTTTGTGTTCTTTAAAAAAAAGAAAAGAAATATATTTTATTCAGCAAAGATGCATTTAATTGATCAAAGTTGACAGAAAAAATATTTATAATGTATAATATTTATATTTATACAAAAAATATATATTTCAAATAAATATTGCTCTTTTGAACTTTCTATTTATCAACAAAAAAGTATCACAATTTCCACAAAATATTAATCAGCTGTTTTCAGCATTGATAATTCTTTAAGAAAAAAAAAAGCTTTCCTGAGCATCAAGTCAGCATATTAGAATGATTTCTGTAGTAATGGCTGCTGAGAAGTCAGCTTTGTGACTGCAGGAATAAATAACATTTTAAAGTATATTAAAACAGAAAACATTTTAAATGGTAATAATATTTCACAATATTACTGTTTTTCCTGAATTTTTGGATGAAATAAATGCAGCCTTGGCAAGCAGAAGAGACTTGTTTTTAAAAACATAAAATCTATGTGCATTGTGCACACATATGAGTAATACTTTCTCTAGATTTACACACACTCTGCCTTCACATACACCAAATAACATACAGACCAAAAAAGAAACAATTTCTCATGTAATTAGCCGTGGGCTATAAACAGCACTGGGCCACCTCTGACTTACAGCTAGTGAGGGTAGAAACAGAATCATTGAGCTGACAAGAGCAAAGAACTAAGGAGTAGATTAACCCACCTGTACTCAAGAGTACTGCTGCGGTCTGAAGGGAAGTCATTAAAATTACATCAAAATGATAAATAAATAAGACAGTCAACTGCCAGATAAATGAAAGGTAAACACATTATAAAAAGACAAAAGTCAAGGAGAAGAACGCCTCTTCATGATTTGTGATACATAATTAGTGACTGGGCGACCAATTATGACAGGAAAAGAGTGCCGTAAATCTGGAAAGTAAATCATGGAGGGCTTAAATGCATAGACAGTGACTTTTACAGTCATGGGGCGGAGGTGAAAGATTAAATGCTTTCATTACATAAGATGTACGATTAAATCATCCTGAAGGTGAAAATAGTAGTCCGTAATTAAAAGCCTATTTTCAGCAGCCAAGTGACCTGCATTTGGTCAGTGGCAGCAGACGTTGTTTTAAGAGATTAGTTTGTCATAGCGCAAGGAGGAAAAAGGGCTGTTTCAACACGTGGACACAGATTGGGCTATATTCACCCCCAGACTCTTGCTTTTTCAGTGGATGAAGGAGAGAATGATTAGACTGCACTCTTGTTTCGCTCTGCTATCACGAATAGAATAAAGCACTTTGACAAAGCACTGTGTCTTTGTTATGTCAGATCAAAGAGCACAGCGGTTTAGGACCATGCCTGGGACACGCTGGCACGCAGTGATTTGCTATTTAAATGAAATAATCTTGCATTAACTATGACAAAAAGCCCTTTGGGTTTGTAAAATGACAATTCGGGTTATATGTCTTGGTTTTGTGCTGACCTACCTGGATTGGTCTTGCCTTTGAGATATCCAATAACATTGTGCACCGTCTTGAAGGACGCCTGGTTTTCAATGGTGAGGTTTATGATTTTTCTTGCTGAGGAACAAACAGAAATTCCAAACGAATTAGTCAGGGACATGAGACATTGATAGATCCAGCTATAAGAAAAAGGCAAAGAGATGGAGAGGTTGTGTCAATAAAATACTGTTAATAAATCCATTTTTATTTAATTCTAAAATGAACATAATTAATTGAGGTATTATTTAATATTCAACAGCAGCAACAACAACAACAACAAAATAACAACAACAACAATAATAATAATAATAATAAGCAACATAAACAACTCAATAAATAATTAAAATATTATTATTATAATTATTAATATTATTATTATTATTATTATTATTTTGTTGTTGTAACTTCAACTATTCAACTAAATTGTTGACATTCATATTAATTCATAAATCATTAAAACATTATTATTACTATTATTATTATTATTATTTAACAAAATTATCAAAATGTCACATATTTTTAAAGAAAACTCCTATTATAGCTTTATTCAACTAAACGGTCAAAATACACACACACACACACACACACACATTTATTTCCCCTAATAATATATTGGATGATGCATAATTATCCAGTCCATGCTCATTTAACAAAAAATAAATAAATAAAAACATTGTTCCTGAGTTAGAAAGTACATTTTTCATCTAATGGCATCTCCTTTAATTTTTTGAAAACTAAACCATTTAGACACACATAAGGCTAGGTGTTTCCCTTATAGTACAGTATATTGATGTGATCACTGATTGCATTGCCCAGAAGAAGCTTTCTATTGACTGTGTGCATTGAGAAAATCCTCTTTTCATTTTGGAACATCACTTGCAAGTTTTTGGCACATCCTCCATTATCAAATCCCCTCCCATTATATGTACAGGACCTATAAAACAGAGAGCAGATAGCCTTTGCTTTCACCATCCGTTTGCGTGTTCCAGAGAAAGTGTACACCATCAGAGCAGCTTAAAAAGATGCCGCCACTGTTCGGCGCACACTCTTACCAATTACACATAAAGGCTCAATGTGATGGAGTGAATATCAATGAGGCTGATATGCCAGCAGATAAAAAGAAGAAACACCTGGCCCTGGAACACATCCCGAGCCACTCTATCTCCCGCTCTTACAGTGACATCGCTGAGCCAACATGGAGATGTGAAAATCCCGCAGTGGACGAGCTTGAATTGAGATGGAATTGAAAATTCCTTTTCAAGAAAGCTTTGGGATCGCAGGCAGATGTGCCCTCTTTGGTGTGCGATGTACAGAGTATGAGTTTTTTATTAGTTCCTGGAGATGTGAATATCAGGAAATAAAGATAAAGGTTTGGTACCTCAGACGTACAAAGGCGTAAACGCCGCTGATGTGTACAGATGTGTTTTTTTACTCTTTGAGTATAATCAAATTCACTCTAAAAATTCAGTGGGCTTCACACAGCCTCCCAAACCCCATGTATCACCCCTGACAACAGCACAAATGACTTTGGGTAAAGAGCAGAAGATGTATATGCAGTTGTAAGGGAGTGTTTAAAAGTGCTGGCGTGCACACGGGTCGTGGTGTGAAAGATCTGTCCATTAATCATCGATAGGTATGAGAGGTTACCGGCTACTGAGAGAGGTGAGCGCCTCTACGTGAGCAAAGTGAAAAAGTGATCTTGTAGGAAAAGAATGAGGAAGGTGGCAGCTGCAATGGCTCATGTTTTATAAATGACCCTGAATAAGATGTTCTTTAGAAGTATATTCTGTATAAAGAACAGGAGCATATAAGCGATGAAGAACAGGATCCACTTTATTTAAAAAATATTTCAAATGTGTTAAACCTTTAAAGCAGAAATTTAAGAATATTAAATTAAATTACATGTGTATACTTTTAATATACTTTTAACGTGCATAGTGCACATCTAATATGCTAAATGAAAGATCAAATGTATGATGTGCAAAAACAAATGAGGTTTGTTCTTGTGTTTGAGTTTCTGTTTACCAAATAAATCAGCTTTTCTGTATGCATCACAGGCTCTCCATGTCATGCCAGAGCGCATTCAGCTCTTCTGATGTTATAGAGATCTGCGGCCAGTTCTGGGCTCCAACTGGCCAGTTTACACGTCACTCAGATCGGCCATTACAGACTCTGTGAACTCTGACACCCCACGTCAGCACAGTGGGCAGAGAAAGGAGGGGTCGCCATCCGGTCGGACAGCCAGTGCTCTGTGGAGAATGTAGTTCATAACGCGAGAATTGAAGGCTTTTGTCCGCACAGAAGAGTTGTAGCGAACGCGACTCGGATCCTTTCAGTCTATGATTATCATATTACAAGTTATATATGATGAAGAACGCGTGGAGAGCCTTGGAGAGCAGTGGACGCGCGTCTGGGGAGACTTGAGCAGCGATTCTCCGTGAGTTTGAGCGTGTTACCCTTTGTTATGAAACGTGTTAGCTATACTATAGTTGAAAAGTATATAATGTTATTTATAAAGAATTCCACTCATATTTTGTAGTTCAAAGGGTTTTATTTACAATGAAACCATTTTTTTAAATTTCCTCCATTGTATGTGTGTAGGGCAAACATTTGAATTTGAGTATTCCAAAAAACGCCCAGAGAATAAGTGGTTTTAATCAGTTGAAAGGACTTTCCCAGTCAATTTGATTAAACTTAACTCATTTATAACCGTTCTTTTAACGTTCTTGTCATTGTAGGCTTAGGCTACTTTTTTATTTTAATGAATATACTAATTAATAAAATTAATATTATTTATTTTGTATTACATATTGTTCATTCATTTATTTATAACACCGCACCCCCAGCACCCCTACTTCCCGCGGTAATGCTTCTATTTATGAAAATATCACAGTTAGGAGATTTATAGCGAGTGGTTCCCTGCATTTTTACAGCAAATCGTGTGATTACAGTAAATTAAGCCGCTGCAATGGAGCAACTCTAATGCTATTAAATTAAAGATGATGTAGGCTACCATAGAGAAAGAAACAAATGAACAGTGAAAGTAATAAAAACTTGTAAAATACATTTTAATGGGCATAATTAAGTGTGAAAATAACAGAAGGTTATACAGTCAAACCAAAAATTATTCAGAGACCAGATTTCATTTTTGATATTTTTTTTACTAGTGGGTGCAGGACACTATAGTTCATTTATGTAAGTGAGTATAGCAAAATAAACTAAACTGTTATATATTATACCCAAAAATTATTCATACAGTGGACTACCAGTAAAATTGATACAAATTTGGGACCAAAAATTATTACGATGAGTCTGGGAAAAAATTGAAGTTCAGGTTTCCATGAACCTGGTTGACAGCATGCCCAGGAGAAAGTATTGATAGTTGTGTAAATATTGACAGCTGTATGAATAAGTTTTGTCGTATACGCCGATCCAGATCATCCCAAACATGCTCAATGCCTGCTCATACCATAACCCCACCGCCACCATGGGCCACTCGATCCACAACTTTGACATCAGCAAACCGCTCACACACACACCGCCATACACGCTGTCTGCCATCTGCCCTGTACAGTGAAAACCGGGATTCATCTGTGAAGAGAACACCTCAGTCCTCAAGTGCCAGACGCCATCGAATGTGAGCATTTGCCCACTCAAGTCGGTTACGATGACGAACTGCAGTCAGGTCGAGACCCCGATGAGGACGACGAGCATGCAGATGAGCTTCCCTGAGACGGTTTCTGACAGTTTGTGCAGAAATTCTTTGGTTATGCAAACCGATTGTTGCAGCAGCTGTCCGGGTGGCTGGTCTCAGACGATCTTGGAGGTGAAGATGCTGGATGTGGAGGTCCTGGGCTGGTGTGGTTACACGTGGTCTGCGTTTGTGAGGCCTTTTGTGTACTTAGAAAAAGTCTTAGATCTTTGACTTCAGCTCATGAAAAAAGGGGGCAAAACAAAAGTGTTGCGTTTATAAATTTGTTCAGTGTATATTAACTAATGATCTGTTAAGCATTATATAATGTTTGTTAATGATTTATAAATGAAAGTTATTAAAAAGTGTTACCAAACGACTCAAGGGTGAGTAAATGATGAGTAGTTTCCTTTATTGGTGAGCTATCTCTTTAACGTTTGTTTTGGAACTTTAAGATTTCTCTTTAAGCTCATTTCCTTTCGTTTTGTCACTGGGGCTGTAAATCCTTTATTTCCTATGAAGCCAAGACAGCGGCTCAGCCACAGCGACGGGGTCTCCTGGGCGACCATGCAAAGATAAGAAGCAATTTTCACTCAATAGTAGGAATTAGAGACTAATAACCCCTATTCAAATCTGTAGCAAAGGTCTCCCTTCACACACATGCAGCCGGAGGGAGAGACTGAAAGCTGACTCAGAGTTTAGCGTATTTCTGTCTGCGTATGTGGGGGCGGATGCCTGCGTGACTCTGACAACAACTGTGTGTGTGTGCACATGTGCATATGCATGTCACATATGGACAGAATGGCAGGTTCTGACACCTGGTAGGATGTGATGAAGCTTACACGTACAAGTGTCTGCATGTACACACACATCAGGAAACATCACAAGTTCTCACTGGCATAGAGGCACTAATTGTCTTGTCGGTATAACTCTCATAACTCAGAACACCAACGGTGAGAAAACTTTTTCAGTTTTTACTGAAAAAGTAAAAACTACAGTGTGAGTTATCATTTCATCACTGAAACAGAAACTGATGGCGTGTCAAATTATATTAAAAAAGTAGTACATTTATAAAAAAAAAAGATATATATATATATATATATATATATATATATATATATATCTTTCACAATTTTGTATCACTCCGCTTGTTCTAGCCGGGTCTATGTTTTTTTTAATTATTCATTGAGCTAATCGTAGAGTACGCTAGTTAATATAAGAAGAGACGTCTAGGTTCGCGGTCTCTCTCATTTGGATGCACGTCTTGCCGCATTGTTTCTCTCTTATAACCTCATTATTTCGTGACGTGACGTAACATGTGGCCTAGTATGGTGACCCATACTCGGAATTAGTGCTCTGCATTTATCCCATCCAAAGTGCACACACAGCAGTGAACACACACACACCGTGAGCACACACCCGGGGCAGTGGGCAGCCATTTTTTGCTGTGGGGAGCAGTTAGGGGATCAGTACCTTGCTCAAGGGCACCTCAGTCATGGTATTGAAGGTGGGAGAGAGCGCTGTACATTCACTCCCCCCACCTACAATCCCTGCTGGTACGAGACTCGAACCCACAACCTTTGTGTTACGAGTTCGACTCTCTAACCATTAGGCCACGACTTCCCCACATTTGAAAATACATAAACAAGTATTTTCAAATATTAGGACAAAACAACACAACGTGCACAGCAGGCTGTTCATGATGTATGCACACTCGTCTCAAGGATGCAGAAAACATGTTAGTTATATAACTGTTGTGTAACAAATTTGCATAAAAAACGGTGGGCATCTTCACTTGATACTTGAATATTGGAGTGTGCAGTAAAGACTTTTACTCTCAGATGAAGGTCAATGAGCAATGAGACATTTGTACATTCTTTGTTGGTCGATGAAAAGCATCATCCCTCGGGAATTACCTTTCCCTGGAGGTTTGTTCACTTAAATCCAATTATGCTCCAATACATGTCATCTCCTCAATCTGTCACTATTATTTAGCCTGCAGCACATCCACCGCGGCTCCTGTGACCACATTCAACGTTATGTTTGACCTCCCTGAAAGCTCTACATGAGAGAGTGCTGTAAGATGGCTGACCAGCCTTACTCTCATGGTTTCAATTAGGCCCCCTGGGCACTGACTGACTGATGTGTGTAATGGCCTTGGATATGGGTGGCCATAGCAAGGGCAACTTTAAGACGATGTGTAAAGCCTGTGTAATGTACCACGCTCAGGAGTTACACGCGCACCACGGAGCATAAATCAACAAGACTTGGCTCCTCGAGCACACAACCTCTATCATTTGGAGCTAAAGAGCGTCATACCATCTGCCGCCAGCAGGTGAAACACTGACGTCATGTGCTTGCAGCTGCTTTTGATGGTTAAATCCCCAGCAGAAGCATGAGACTGAGAAGACTAATGAATATCTCAGGCACAAAACATTGTTTCAGAGCTTACTGGAGACATAAGGATTAACACACAAGAAAGAAATCAAAAAAGCATGAGAGACACTAACAGAATGGCAGTATAATCGGTTTTGGAAATAGTGAAAAAAGACAATCATATGATCATAAGGTGAGAACCTAAGACCTATAAGTCAGTAACACTTCATAAAATGATTAAACAATGCTTAAAGAGATGGTTTGCTCAAAAATAAAATTCTGTCATCACTTACTTAACCTCATGACTTTTCAAACCTGTATGACTTACTATCGTCTGTGGAACACAAAAGAAGATCACCTTAAGAAAGCCCAAGGGTTCTTCTTCTTCTTCTTCATCATCAATTAACATCAAATTACTTTTTATTATATGGAGAGAAAAAAAAAACTGTTGAAACAATAGTCTTCAAAAGACCTTTATATATGATCAACCGTAGAAAGTCAGTCATACAGTTTTGAACTGTCGCTTTAACATGTCAGTATGCCATATACATTAGATTCATGCCATTTCGGAATGTACAATAACTAAAGGTCTGTTTTGGGAGACCAGGGTTTCATTTTTTATTTTTTTTTATAATGGATAATTGGGCTAATAGATTTTTGCATAGGCACATATTTTAAGTCTCGGTTAAAAAATGTAAAAAAAATATATATATTTATGAAAGATTAAACACTTCAGGAAAAAAAAAAAATATATATAAAAGTTCAGATAAAAAGAAAATATAAAACCATATTTTTTTCCCAACACAATTTATGCTATAAAAAGCAATAAATAATAATTTAATGTTTAATAAAATAATGAAATACAATATGAATTAAGATTCACATATTATCTAATAAAAAAATGCATATTGCATAATGATAATTAATTAATTCAATAATTAATTGATCAATTGTAGAAAATTACAACAAATTAATCACATGACAACTTGACATTCATTCATAATGACAGTCATTATGAAGCGTTTCTAATACCAGAAAGTCTCTCTCCATAAGGTTACGTGATTTGAAGGCTCTAAGAAGTGGTATTTTGTGAGACTGAAGAGGGTTGTTTTTTGACAGTTACAGTAAGTGTAGCAGATGTTGTTTCTGGCCCAAGGCTTACCTGAGGCAGAGGGCATGGCCATAGGGATGCAGGGTCTTCCCTGCCCCATGGCGGGGGCAGAGAGTAACATTTTCGCTAAGGAGGCAGAGATGGGCTGAACCAGCAATGATGTCAAGTTGTGGCGACTGTCTCTTCCAGCTGTGAACAGAAACAGAAGAGAACACTGAAAAAAACTGTATTTTCTTATTTTAGAAAGGCTTTCACACAGCTACATCAAAAAGAAAACAATAATAACATCCTTCCATCCTCAGAATTTCACCCTCAGCAAGCCATTTGCATTGATCATGACTTTGTGAGCATTTAGAGCATGTCATGGGGCTCTTAACGCCACACATGAGCAACCCAATTACCCAATCAAAGAGCTTTTCTATTGGTTAAGACCTCCACTGAGTCTTCTCACACACCTTCATCTAGGAGGGTAGATGAACGGCATTAGTCTATTACGTGCTGCATAAATATAGTTGCAGTGGGGTCAGGCGAAGATACGTTTAGTGATGTGAGGTGAGCAAGAAGGGACGGGCGAGGATATTCGTAATGTGCTGTAAATCTGACAGAAAAGAGAAAGGAGCACTGAGAGGAACCTGCACAGCCATGCAGGGACATATCAAAACCTTTCCTCACCGCTGATTGCAGCTCACGAGTGGCAAACTAATAGGCCCGGAGATTTTAAGTTTGAAGAAACATTTACTAGCAGGCCAATGGGGATTTATATGGACGAAATGCTCCATTGATTCAGCCTCATTAAAACAAAGAAAATGTGAGCCTAATCCTGCTTTAGGAGCAAATTTATTTAGGAGCTTCAATTTTCCAGCAGCGTTTCTGCACTGGTGGGATGGGGTACAGTCATCCACGAATTACAATCAGTAGACGTTTCTGTTCCACAACACTCTATTACCTTCGGAATTTACCAATTAATTCTTTAAAAATCCTACAATGTGATTTTCTAGATTTTTTTTTCTCATTTAGTCTCTCATAGTTGAGGTATACCTATGATGAAAATTACAGGCCTCTCTCATCTTTTTAAGTGGGAGAACTTGCACAATTGGTGGCTGACTAAATACTTTTTTGCCCCACTATAAATATATTCACAGGCCGCAATTATTTTACAGTGGTTATGCAGGAATGAACGCAGAGGAAGGTCCCCTTGAAATTAGTTTAATATTTTCTTGGTCATAGTGGGATACAGTGATTATTGGGTTTTGAGTGGGTTTTTTAAAGTAACGCTGTACTGTATGTGCAATTATCTGCCCAAAGGTCACAGGGGTCAAAGTTGTGTTTAGAGAGAGGAGATTATCTCAACTAATTAACCTTCTAAATATGATTTCATTTAAATAAATGTGTTTGTAACTCAAACATTTATCTATCTATCTATCTATCTATCTATCTATCTATCTATCTATCTATCTATCTATCTGTCTGTCTGTCTAGCTATCTAATTTTTCATCCTGTTTTCTACCTCAATTTAAATGCAATCAACTGAATTAGACCTTAAAGATAATATAACTTGTGTTTAGAGATATCTCATTATCTCAACTAATTAACCTTCTAAATATGATTTCATTTAAATAAATGTGTTTGTAACTCAAACATTTATCTATCTATCTATCTATCTATCTATCTATCTATCTATCTATCTATCTATCTATCTATCTATCTATCTATCTATCTATCTATCTATCTATCTATCTATCTATCTGTCTGTCTGTCTAGCTATCTAATTTTTCATCCTGTTTTCTACCTCAATTTAAATGCAATCAACTGAATTAGACCTTAAAGATAATATAACCCCCTGTTTCAGCACTGGTTGGTTCTCACCAGAGCTTTTGACAAATGCTACAAAAGTGGACGTGGTGTGCTGTAGAGTGGAGGGGGAAGAGGGAACACAGACAACATGACAGCATCTTCAGATTCAAATGGTTTCATTTCACTCCCATTGAGTTAAAAACATCAACGCTTCCCACAAATGCACACTGCAATTCACCATTACATGCAACAAATGAACATCTTTTTCTACATGGTTTTTTAAGCTCACCGTACTTTCACATATACCCCATGACCGCTATAATTTAAAGCACAAATACATGCACAGCCATTTATGTGTGTACTCTGCATTCAAAACATATATGAACACGCAGTTGGATCTTTAATCATTTTTAAGGTTTATTTTGCAGTGTTTATATAAGCCGTTTGATTGGTTTATATCAAGGAGCTGTAAAGACTGGTTATGCTCATGAAGTGAACGAGTCGCGGTTGACTCAGGGTATGTGGGTGTGAATTTATGCCACATGAATACTTACGAGACACTGATGCTTCATCAAAGTACTATAGTGATTTGCCACGTCACTAATTGTGATGTTAGCATGATGTAGATCAGGGGTGTTCAAATAAAATTGCTTGAGGTCCAGTAAAGAACCCTCCTCACCAGCCGCGGTCCGGACAATTATATACCTAAAATCATGAATTGATGGGTTTTGCCAGACCAGGGTATCTGCAGGATACTTAAGCTTAAGGCCTGGTTTCACAAATGGGGCTTAGCTTAAGCCAGGACAAGGCCTTAGTTAAATTAAGATATTTAAGCAACTTTTACAAACATGCCTTAGAAGAAAACATTACAGGTGTGCATCTTGACACAAAACAATGACACTGACATATTTTAAGATATGTCAGAGCAAGATATTTTCAGTTGAGACAGCTCAAACATGCATTTTAGTCTGGGACTAGCTTAAGCCTTGTCTGTGAAACCGAAACTTTTTTTAAGACCTGCAAAAATAAAATTAAAATGCCTGTAAAATTCCTGGCTTACAGTTCAGACGCAGGTTTTATAAAATGATAAACTTCACATTTTAGCCTTTAAACCATATTTTAAGAAAATGGAGTCAAAAGTATATAAATATATTTGACTTCTTAATTGTTTAGATTTTATAATGCATTATCTTCTTGTCCATCCACTAGTTCACATTTACAACTCTGCGTGTTTGCTGCATAAAAACATGCGTTGATTTTCACATTGGTCTGAACAAAAACAGCAGAGGAGATGCAAATTAATTCTCTGCCAACAGGAGGCGCTTTCGGAATGGCAGAAATAAAGCTGTTTCCCCGGTAACGGCAGAAGACAAAGCAGCACAGCAGGTGACATTGAAATGTGCAGCGCTCATGTTTATTCACTGAAATCAGCCTTTTGAAGTTTAAGCGTCACATTAAGCTATATCACAATTCTTGCCTTTCCATCCCCAAATTTAAGATCTCCTGAAATCATAAGACTTTCTTGTACCATTTAAGACTTTTTATGGCCTTATATTTGATTCAACTAAATTTAAGACTTTTTAAGGGCCCGTCAACTTTCATAATTTTTGAGAATGCCAATGTTTTCCACTCACTGAAAGTTTCATCTGTCTGCGCGCCGCTCTCTGCTTTCTTCACTGCATGCATGACTGCACGTCGGAACATAGCAACAGTTAACTGTAGTAGAAAAGTGCACAATGATAGTGGTGTTCAGTGCAGAACTGATGTTGTTGTGCAAAATATCCAGACCCACCTGAACCCGATGTCAGCTGTAGTGAATTAAATAAAATGGAGGTTTTGCGAGACAAAAACTAGAAATATTCAGTTCAATGCTTTAGGGACATGTCTAGGGCACTCACTGATGTACCCCCTAATTTGTTATTTTTTTTTTACCAGCCTAAAAGAGTACTTTCATCCGTCTAGATAAATAAAACAAACAAGGTTATGGTCAATAGCTTTCATCCTTTCATGTTAGTTCTATCTGCAGCTCAGCTAAAAATGAACAAAAACAAGTTTAAAAGTACAAGATGCCCTCAAAACCCATTAGGTCGTGCTTTGCCACGTCACTAATTGTGATGTTAGCATGATGTAGATCAGGGGTGTTCAAATAAAATTGCTTGAGGTCCAGTAAAGAACCCTCCTCACCAGCCGCGGTCCGGACAATTATATACCTAAAATCATGAATTGATGGGTTTTGCCAGACCAGGGTATCTGCAGGATACTTAAGCTTAAGGCCTGGTTTCACAAATGGGGCTTAGCTTAAGCCAGGACAAGGCCTTAGTTAAATTAAGATATTTAAGCAACTTTTACAAACATGCCTTAGAAGAAAACATTACAGGTGTGCATCTTGACACAAAACAATGACACTGACATATTTTAAGATATGTCAGAGCAAGATATTTTCAGTTGAGACAGCTCAAACATGCATTTTAGTCTGGGACTAGCTTAAGCCTTGTCTGTGAAACCGAAACTTTTTTTAAGACCTGCAAAAATAAAATTAAAATGCCTGTAAAATTCCTGGCTTACAGTTCAGACGCAGGTTTTATAAAATGATAAACTTCACATTTTAGCCTTTAAACCATATTTTAAGAAAATGGAGTCAAAAGTATATAAATATATTTGACTTCTTAATTGTTTAGATTTTATAATGCATTATCTTCTTGTCCATCCACTAGTTCACATTTACAACTCTGCGTGTTTGCTGCATAAAAACATGCGTTGATTTTCACATTGGTCTGAACAAAAACAGCAGAGGAGATGCAAATTAATTCTCTGCCAACAGGAGGCGCTTTCGGAATGGCAGAAATAAAGCTGTTTCCCCGGTAACGGCAGAAGACAAAGCAGCACAGCAGGTGACATTGAAATGTGCAGCGCTCATGTTTATTCACTGAAATCAGCGTTTAAGCGTTTAAGCGTCACATTAAGCTATATCACAATTCTTGTCTTTCCATCCCCAAATTTAAGATCTCCTGAAATCTTCTTGTACCCTTGTACCATTTAAGACTTTTTATGGCCTTATATTTGATTCAACTAAATTTAAGACTTTTTAAGGGCCCGTCAACTTTCATAATTTTTGAGAATGCCAAAGTTTTCCACTCACTGAAAGTTTCATCTGTCTGCGCGCCGCTCTCTGCTTTCTTCACTGCATGCATGACTGCACATCTGAACATAGCAACAGTTAACTGTAGTAGAAAAGTGCACAATGATAGTGGTGTTCAGTGCAGAACTGATGTTGTTGTGCAAAATATCCAGACCCACCTGAACCCGATGTCAGCTGTAGTGAATTAAATAAAATGGAGGTTTTGCGAGACAAAAACTAGAAATATTCAGTTCAATACTTTAGGGACATGTCTAGG